TTAATCATATTCTTTGCGTTGTCATCCCATGAGCTTCTAGGCACCCGGAGTTCAGGGCCTTGTCTGTTGTGTTCAGCTCTTAGCCAGGGCAGTTTCCCACTGTCTAAGCCTAGCTTCATCTGCTCCCACACTGGGTACATTGTATCTGCCACAAGTCCCTCTGCTATGACTGCCCTCTCACCTCGACACATAGGGGCCGTGGGGTTGGAATACTTTTGGAAGAACACTTTTGGAAGAACAAGAGACTTGGATGAAGCAGTAGGGAAGGGCCAGATCCCCAAGCCCTGTGACTTCAGGCCATGCTCTTTGCCTCACTCAGGGTAGCTCCCTGAAGACTGAGCTGACTAGGGCCAGGAAGAAGGGACAGAATCCCAGGCAGAGGGCACTGGGGTAAGGGCATACCCAATGGGGCCATGGGTGAGCATAACAGGAATGGGGCAAAAGGTAGGGCTGAGGGGGGCATGATAGTAGGGGAAGGGGTACCTAGACAACTAGGCCCCAGCCCTTTGCCCTGGGAGATGTTTTTCCCCTTTGGTTCTGGGAATCAAACTTGTACATGCTAGACCAATGTTCTGCCACTGAAGCATGCTCCCAGCTCCTCCAGCCCTTTGCCCCGAGAAGCCACTTGTCAGCTGTATCAGGCTTGGACTTTGGTTCCTGGGGATGTACCAGGGCAATATACTTTCATGTTTTTTGATATGTCTAAGGGTATGTGTGTTTGTGCAAGTGTCATGACCTATGCGTGTTTATTAGCCTGTGAGTGTATGCTTTTGTCTTGGAGTCTCAGTTTGTATGGAGGTGTGTTCATGTTTTTATAAATCCATATGTTGGGGATGTAGCTCAGTTGGTGGAATGCTTGCCTACCTTGTACAAAACCTGGATTTGGTCCCCCGTATCATACAGCCTTGAGTGTGGGGGTGCATACTTGTAATCCCAGCTCTATGGAGGTAGAGATAAGAGGATCTGATGTTCAAGGTTATCTTGGACTGTGTAGTGAGTTCAAAGCTAGCCTAGGATGTATATGACACCCTGCCTCTAAAACAAAAAAGGTAAAGAATAAAAACAACAAAAGGAATCTATATTCATGTTTGGGTGAGTCATGGTGTCTATTTGTGTTGAGAACAGAACTCACTATTTGCTCACACAGAGACTTAAGGAGTTATCTTGCCAGTTTCCCTTACTCTATCCCCATCTAAGCTAAGCTATCACCCAGTCCTGTCCACCTATGTCTTAGGAACCTTGGAACTTGGCATGTGTCTACCTCCCCTGCTGCACTGTAACATGCTCACCTGGCATGTGCCCACCTCCCCTGCCTCCCCCAACCCTCAGCACTGTAACGTGCTCACCTGGCATGTGCCCACCTCCCGTCTCCCCCAACCCCCAGCACTGTAACATGCTCACTTGGATGAGTGTGACACTTTCTGTGTGCCTCCAATTTAAGTCTGTTTCCTGAAAAGCATCCAGAGAGTCTTTTGAAAACATCAATCTGATCACTTCCTTCCAGCCCTTCAACGCTTCCCTGCCTTGATAAAGTCTCAATCTTGGACATGGCCTCCCAACCCAACCTATAGCCCATCCGCCTGCCCCAGGTTCCTGTGGCCTGTCTCCCTCCAACCAGGAGCTGTCTCTGCATTGTCATGTGCTGCTCCTTCCAACATTAAGGTTTTTGTGTGTGCTTGTCTTGATTTTGAGGCAGGGTTTCTCTGTGTAATCCTACTGTCCTGGAACTGGCTCTGTAGGCAAGGCTGGCCTTGAACTCACAGAGATCCTCCTGCCTCTGCCTTCCTCGCCACCACTGCCAGGCTGGAGTCAAGGTTTTCTGCTCAAGCTGCTCTCTGCTTTCCCTGCCTCCCGTGTTCAGCAGTTAATGACTGCCCATCCATGAGTTTGAAATCACCTCCTTGAAAAAGCTTCCCGTGGTCATTTTCCTTTTTGAAGACAGGATACATTTTCTCATGTATTCCTGGCTGGCCTCAGACTGACTATGCAGTCAAGGATGACCTTAAACTTCTTTCTGATCCTCCCGCCTCCACCAATCTACTTCTGAATCATGCGCACGTTACCAGGCCTAATTGATGTGGTCCTGGTCTCCTACAGACCCTGTGGCTTTGTGCATGCTTGACAAGCACTCTAGTAACTCAGCTATGTCCTAGCTCCAGGATTTCCCTTTTACTCTAGTAACTCAGCTATGTCCTAGCTCCAGGATTTCCCTTTTACTCTAGTAACTCAGCTATGTCCTAGCTCCAGGATTTCCCTTTTACTGGATTCATCACACTGACTTGTTTACAGCAGACTTTTAAAATGGGTGGGTGTGAGAGGGGTTGAGTCTCACTCTGAAGTCCTGACTGGCCTGCAACTCACTACATAGTCTAGGCTTGCCTTGAACTAATGGTGATCCTCCCGACTCAGAGTCCCAAGTACTGGGATCAGAGGTATGGGCCACAGCAATAGTCTTATTAATATCTGTGTCCCGAGATCTACCGAGTCTGTTCTACTAGTCACAGGAAGCCTAGTTGTTGAGTGAATGTCTGGAGACTAAATCTTTGTGACCAGAGCCTTTTAAATCCAGAATTAAGGTTGGGGCATACAGCTGTCAGCGCCCACACTCCCTGCCCTGAGAAGGTGGAAGGTGTCTCTCTGCCTTCACTGGCCAGGCAAGGAAGCCCAGCTGGCTGAGTGCCCCTTGTGTCGTCATTTGGGAAATGGACTGATCATAATGACAGCAGTCTCATCCAGTTACTGGCAAGATCAGATGGATAACAAAGACTGCTCTAGCCAGTTAGGATACCTTGGGGCAGGGGTGGGATCTGATTCACAGATCTGAGGCCTGGCACCAGGAAGGGCCTCAGGAAGTGACAGGCAGTTCTCAGAGCTGCGCGCCTTCGTGAGTAGGCTTGACTGGGCCCTGTGCAAGGAGCCTTACTCAAGCAGATTCTTTCTGACTCCACAGGACACTAAGGGCAGCTTGGCTATTAATAGCCCCATGTCACGCTTCTCACATTCCTTCACTTACCAATCTAATAAATATTTGAATGTCCATGTGTCTGGCATTCTAGGTAAACAAGGCAGACACAACCCTACTGTTAGGGAGCTCAATGTCTAGTAGAGACGGACAGTATACCCACATCCACCTCTCTCAACTATTGTGTGCATGTACTGGACTCTTCCAACAGCCCTGAAAGTCGGGTACTGCTGTCATCATGCCTGCTTGGAGCTCTGAAAAGAAGCAGGGAAAGGAACCTGTTTATTACTTCACAGATCATAGCAATTCGGTTAAACGGGCTCTAAGACACAGGTTCCAAATTGCATCTTTGTCGTGGGACAGGAAACTGTCTTCTGGCTCCAGCTTGAGCTCCAACCTGTCTGGGCCAATATATGTACTTTAGAGCTGATTGTCTACCAAGGGAGGTAGGGGAAATGACGAATTTGGGGTTACTGGGGCTGGGGAGCCATGTCGGTTTTGTTTGTTTGTTTTTGCCTGCATAGGAACTGCTAGCTTGGACTGATAAAGATGCATGGACTGCAGGTGGAGCTTCATGGCCGAGCACTTGCTTGGCATTCACCAGGCACTATGTTTGGCTATAAGCAGCGCCACAGAATAGACAAGACTCCTAACCGAACCAGGACTTACTGCCTGCTCTGACTGAGCCTTGCAACATCTTTGGTTGGTCTGCCAATGTTTCTCTACCCTTCTAGGCATAGGGAAGCTAGACAATAGTTCTTCCCTCTCCCCCGGAGGAAGGGATAAAGGTGCAAAGCCAGGTAAAAGCTCTCCTTTTGGAAGTCGTGAGGGTCAGGAGCTTTGCCCCAGTGTTGCTGGGAGTGGAAGAAGGGCTGTGAGGATATTCTCCAGCTACCGGTACCCCTTCCACCTACCTTTCACACGCCTATACTTGTTCCTCTTTTCGAAAAAGCGGCTACAATTCTTCCCCATTATCCTCTTAAGAGTGCAGAAGACATGAAAAATCGACGTTCGAACCATTTCCCAGGCCGAAAACACCAAGAGCGCAACTGTTGCTCTTGGTCCCACTGAGAATAACTAACCCGAGCAGGAACCTTATCTATTCCGACAGACCCGCATTGCGGACACTTCTCCCAAGACCGCACTGGGACAGTCGGTAGTCCTGACGTCTGGGTGGGACGTTCTACTATCACATCACCCGTTCGAATAATGGATGGTCTCCGTCCCCCGCGCAGGACGGCAGTGGGTCAGTCCACGGACCGCCCCACCCCCCGTTGTGGAAGTGGGTCCGTCCACCCAGTCCCCCCCTCCCCGCCCCGTCCCCCGCAGGACCTGCGGACTTTCTTCCGAGCGGCTACCGGCTCACCTTTGACCTTGCCTTTTCGCCACCTCCTGCGACTGCGGTTCTTCAACCCTTCTTTGGCCTTCTTGGAGGCCCGGGTCCCCACGCTCCCCGATTCCACGACTGTCTCCATCAGTTCTTTCCCAGTCCCGGCGCGGGGCCCAATTCCAGCAGTCGAGTCCCTCCTCTAAAGTCAATCCTCGTTACACACCACCGCCCGGCCCCCAAACCATCCAATCCTGGGCTTGCTCCTCGCTAGGCCCCGCCTCCAAGGGGTGGTCCCGAGGGCCTTGGCCCGCCCATCCGCTCAGGTTAAAGGAACCGCAGCCAACCACAGCAAAGACAACAAAATGCAACCCCGGAGGCGGCGAAAAGTGTCCACAGAGCAGGAGTAGTGAGGAGTGGCGCTAGAATCACCCCCACAGTCACCCCGGTCGTCTCCTGTGCAGGAGCCGCGCCTCGCCATCCCCTTCACCTGTCCATGAACTCGGCCCGCCCACCTGCCCCCAGGAAAGGCGAGAACCAGCGGGCAGGGGGCGTGCCAGGCCATCGGGCCGCCTACGGCGTGGGCGGGGCCCGACTGGGGGCGGGGCCGAGCTGGGTCGCCGTTAGGGAAGCCCCGCCATAGCCCCGCTCCCTGAGCTGAGGTTAGCTTGGCACCCACGGTGGAGCCTAGGCTGGCCTTGGTCTGTCGGCAAAACGTCTGCTTCCGGTCAGACTTTCTCCCCTCTCTCTCACACATTCTCTGCCCCTACGAGTTCGTATTGCTCTGTTTCTCGAGGTTTCTCTCCCTTTCCCTTAAAGCGATGGAGGGGATTGGAGGAAGAGGACGTTCTGCGCCTGCCCAGCGGTTTGCGGCACAGGGTCGACCAACTGGAAGGAGCCTAAATTGACGGAGCCCATGTGCCCGGGAAAAGGCGGGAAACCGAGGAGGCCAAGGCTCGCACGTGCGGCTCGTGGCTCCCTGCACTCTCCGCAGCCGCTTCTGGGTTAGCGCTGGCCTGAGGCGTCCGGAACGCAGGAGCAAGTGTTCCCCCCGCCCTGGGACGCAGAGCGCAGGGCGAGCATTGCTCAGCCCTCAGAAACAGCTTGGGCCTTTGTGGAGACGGCCGGCTCTGAGGGGAAAGCCCGCCACTGCCGGCTCTCAGGCCCGGGGCTCTGTGGTACTTACCTGTCATCGCTCCAGAGGAGCCGCGGGCAGTCACCTGCCATGCGGTTTCCATTCAGCCTTGACTTTGGCACAGAGTTCGGCAGCCCTATCCAGCCCCCTCTCCCAAGCTTCTGTACGCCATCAAACAGTCATTCCGTGGCACTGAGCGCCGTGGAGGCACCTGGCCGGGGAGCGAGTGTTCCTGGTGGCAGAGGCTGTGAGGGCCCCGGATGCTGAGCTTGTCTACACCACTCTGAAAGGTCAGGCCCACCCTGCACGTTGTGCTGCTGTTGCTTAGCTTGATGTCTGTCCCACAGCTCGTACGCCACCATTTTATTTCTTTATTTTTGGCTCATATGAATGAATGCTGGTAAGAGGGTGGTTTCTTTTACGAGATTCTTTAGTTAGTGCTCTTTCCTACCTCAGTTTGATTTCACCCAAATCTTTTTTGGGGAGGGGGAAAGCCTGGTGTAAAGGAAGGGAACCCTATTTTTGGTCCCGTGTTTGCTGTTTCCAAACTGCAGGCCCTTGTGCCAAATCCTCATTTTTCTGCCTCAGCATCCTTCTCTATAGACTGGGGGGTGCTGCTGTTTATTTCACAGGAGTGTTGAATCCTGAGTGCTACAACCCCAGACTGGAAAAAAAAATTCTTAGCACGAATAAGTGGATCTGGAAAGCTCCAGTCTTCCAGGTTCAGACTCACCTGTGTCCCAGAAGTGTTTGTGAGGCTGGAGGCTGGCTTTCATCCTATGTGGTGATTTCCCGCCATATCCGGGCACCTTCTCACAGTCGGGTTTCTCTTTGAAGGATAGTGGCATTCTTGGGATCACCATTCCACTCTTTGGCTCTGGAAGATTTGACTGTGAAGATGAACTCAGATGTCCCTCTGTGTCAGACTCCGTAATCCAGTCAAAAAATGTCTTCCACTCTTGGGCCGTTCGCTGTATGGATAGTTCATGCAGTCTTGTTAAAAAACCGGATTCCCTCACAGATCCCTGTTTGGATTTGGTTTCTTGGACCTCAGGTGTTTGCTGGGTTGTAGGATCTGATTGTTCAAGTCTCTCTTGGGATGGAGAGTAAACTTGGGCAGGGGATTTCTTTGGGGGTCCAGGTCCAGCCTGGGTTGTAGATGTAGCCTCCACTTCATGTGGAGCTGGAGGTGGTTCTGTTGGTCCAGATCCTGTCATCCCCACATGCTCTTTTCTGGGTTGTGATTCCTGTGGAGTTGTAGACATTTTTCCTGCCTCTGGTCCCCAGTGGGAGGTGGCTTCCTGTTGATCCAAGAGCACTTTCTGGCTGGGAGGTGATTGCTGTGGTGCAGGGGAGGCTAGTGGGCTGAGGATCTTCTGGAGCAGAGCAGATTTTTGTGGAACTCTTGGTTTCTGCTGGAATTCAGCTTCATGCTGGGCAGTGGGCTCATGCGGGAGAGTTGATTTCTGTGAGGTACCAAATTCCTGCAGCATCTTTGATCCTAGATGGTCTGTGAGGGTTGTTTCTGACCCAGGATCTGGCTGGATTATAGGTCTCTGCTGTGTTTCAGGTTCCCATTCTGGCCTAGATACCGAGGTAGAATCTGGTTCCACAGTTGGTATTTCCCTCGTGAAAGAAGTTGGTCTCCTAGGCTTCATCCTTCTTCCCCTACCCCTACCCCTCAAGCTTCCCTCTTCACAGATCCTTCATGATGGTACCTCCCTTTGGGCTCCAATCCTTTGTCCTGGCATTCCTGGTCTTCCTTTATAGCTAGCCTGTGGGTTTATCACCGCCTCCCCCACCCCCCTTGCTTGCTCCTTGCCAAGTGGTCACTCTTACTTTGGGAGAGGGATTAGGACTAAGGAGGAGGCTCATGTGCCCAGTACTATCTTTCAAGAAGGGAGGGGCTTGCCCTCTTGTGTCATAAATAGGGCCCCACCCCACTCACCACTCAGTTAAAATGACCAATTGCCCTTCTCATAAGACAACTTAATCTTCTGTTTCATCTGGGGTGATTCTAGATGAGCTGATGAGTGTTCTCTGCCTACAGAGATGGGAATCTTATGTAGCCCAGGTTGGCCTCGAGCTCCTGAGCTTCTTGTCTCCATTTCCCAAGTTCCATGACCACAAGTGGGTACCACCATAGTTCAGTATTTATCCCACTCCTGATGCCAGAAGAATACTTGAGGAGTCTGTATACTTACAATTATAGTTTTCTCTTCATTAATTCTTACAACTTGTTGTCAGTTCACTTGTCTTAGATTGTTGCTTTGATCACTTTATACCCATGCTAAAAAGTAAAAAGACTGATGTCATTCTATTTTTATAGGCTCAAAACCCTTGAATTGCAGCTGAGATCCTTCATACCATCTTTATAGCTTTGAACTGTGTTTCTACATTTATATCTCTTGTATTGCATTAGAAACCCACAGAATGAAGTAATGGGGATGATGCTGATGATGGGAATCATAAACACTGATTGATGTCTGTCTAGATGCTAAGAAAGCACAGTTTCTAAACCTTTATTATTGTTAATCAGGCAGTATCTGATTCAGTGCTTTACTTGCTTTCTATGCCACACTCAGACATTGCACCTTAGAATGGTGAAAGAATAAAAATCAGGCAATGGAGAGAGAAAGAGGGTCAAGGAGGGAGAAATGCGTGTAGAATCTGGGTTAGGGTTTTGAATGACCAGGGCAAAGGGTGACATCTGGATTGAATGTGAGTGGTCAGACCCCTTTAGATTGAATTAACTGATATTCATATACCATATATTCATATATATATGCATTATGTATGTATTTAATTATTTTCTTTGCTAATTTTCCTATGGTCAAGTGAGATCAATAGGAAGCTGAGGTTTCCTTGATTTTTTTAGGGTGAACAGAGGTATAAGTGTTATGGTGTCGAAAACCAGGAGCTAAACACCAAGATATTGCAGGGTAAAATTTATTCATGGCTGGGCCTAACTTATAGCCCCCTCCTTAGGAGTAGGAGAATGTAAGTGGCCCTCAGCTGCAGCAGAGAGAATCTTCTATAGGTCCTTCATTACTTCTGCAAGCAAGCAAAGCTTAAACAAAAGCAGAACTTTTTGCTATTAACATTTAGCACTAACATATTGTCAAAGTTTTTGACATTTTGATTGGCCAGTTTCAGAAAGCCTGTCAAATATACCAGGTTTTTCAGAAGGTCTTTGTGGTGTGTTGGTTTGAAAAAACAGTCTACACAATAGGAACATGAAACTTATTTCACCTAAGAAATAAAAGTACCAACATAAGATTCTGGGAACAGGTTTGGGAGCTGAATAACAAAAGGAATGGAGGCTCTGTCATTTTTAAATTATTTAACCCATACTGAAATCAATAGTGATGAGAGAAGATGACAGTAGAGGGCACAGTAACCAATATGCTGGGCAGTGCCTTCTGAGAGCACTGGGATGCTGTTGGTGAGGATGGGGTGGGGAGAGCAAGAACACGCTCTAGGGTTGATCACCTCTTTTCCACTGAGAGTGTCCACTTGAGAGAGTAGAGTATCAGAACTATAAGGGCAGAGAGAAACTTGCTAGTTGACATCGTTTGAGAAATTGCTGGCAGGTTCTGGAGGGCCTCTTTGGCTTCCGGTGGTGCTTTTGGTGTCCTAGGGCACAAACAAAAGGATACTGTCATAAAAACTTAAAAATACTTTGTTTTATTTTTATTTGTGTGTGTGTGTGTGTGTGCCACTTATGTGTGTGTGCTGTGGGGGTTGGAATAGAATTTCAGAACCCCTGGAGCTGGAGTTCCAGGTAGTTGGGAGCCACCTGACATTTGTGCTGGGAACCAAACTCTGGTCCTCTGATTTATTTCAAGACAGGGTTTCTCTGTGTAGCTCTGGCTGTCTGGAACTTGCTCTGTAGACCAGGCTGGCCTTGAACTCACAGTCTGCCCCTGCCTCTTGAGTGCTGGGATTAAAGGTGTGTGCCATCATTGCCTGGCTACTCTGGTCCTCTGAAAGAGCAGTGAGTGCTCTAAATGGCTGCTCTTTTTCTCCAGCTCTTTTAAAAACATTTCAAAGTTTATATGTAAACTTTTGAAATTATGAGATGCAGCTGGCTGTGGCAGTGTGTGCCTACAATCATTGTAGCACTCAGGAGGCAGAAGCAGTATGATCTTTTAAGTCTGAGGTTACCTAAGCTACAAAGTGAGTTCCAAGTCAACTTAGGCTAGAATGGAAATCTATCTCAAAAAGCCAAACGAATTGGACGGTGATGGCACACACTTGGAAGGCAGAGACAGGTGGATCTATGTGAGTTCAAGGCCAGCCTGGTCTACAAAGTAAGTTCCAGAACATCCAGGGCTACACAGGGAAACCCTGTCTCAAAAACCAAATAAAAGTTGGGGTGGGGTGGGGCAGAGAATGGACAAATCAGAATAAAAAAAATCAAACAGGGGTGGAAGAAATGGCTCACCAGGTAAGGCATTTGCCAAATTTTATGACCTGAGTTCAGTCCCAGAGACTAATATGGTGGAAGGAGAGAACTGAATCCCAACTCTCTTCTCTGACCTCCACACATGTGATACTAACATAAACACACACACACGCAGTAAAATGAAATATAATACTTTAAAAAACATGTTTTATTTTGTGTGTGTGTTGGGGGTGGGTGGGTGCACATGTATGTAGAGTTGCATTCATGCCATAGTGGAAATTTGGAAGTCAGAGGGCAGCTTGCAGTAGTCTGTTCTCTCCTTTTATCATGTGGGTGTCAGGGATTGAACTCAGGTCATCAGATTTGACTACAAGCGTCTTCTGAGCCATCTTTCTGGCCCTTTATTTACTTTTTTTGTATAATAACATTTTAAAAAAGACTGTGGGGATGGAAAGATGGCTCAGCAATTAAGAGCATGAGTTTCCCCTATAGAGGCCTCAGGTTCAGTTCTCAGAACCCACATGGTGTCTCAGGAAATCTAATTACCTCTTCTGGTCTTCAAGGGCACTGCATTGAGATTAAATACATGCAGGCAAGGTACCCACACACATAAAATGAAAACAAACAAACAAACAGAAAAACCAATTGCCAGATGAAAGAAAAGCCAAAATCCTGTTCCACACTGACACTGGTGTCATCTTCAGAAATCAATGGGCAGGTCACAGCCTCTCTATCTCCCTTTACTTTGATAAATGACACGTTCTAGAATCTAAGATTTTGGTTAAATCTCTTTAGTTTCAGAACAAGTCTATCCTAATGCTTTTGTTCTTTCTGTTTTCCTACAAGTTGGTATTGAATAGAAAGGGGCTGGATGATGCATGTGTTTATTTTGGTCTTCTTGGCCTTGCCTCCATCCCTAGTGAGTTCATAGAACTGAGTGTGGTATAAGGAAGAAGGCCATCCTCTTGAAACTTACTGTTTTTTTTCTCGCTGTCCTTGACATGATCACAGGGACACTGCTTCTTTGGTGATTCCAGCACTGGTGTGGATTTTCTCTTCGGGGCTCTCAGGAACCAATCTGTAAACAACAGGCGACTTCTTAGATGGGAAGGTTGGTACGTTTAGAGTATGGACTTGGCTGGGGAAAAGGGTCAACGGAGAACAACGGAGACCTCAAGCTGTGTGAACCCCTGGGTTTCTAAGTTGTTTTCATGTGACCTCTGTGGGCAGGGATTTGCTGACATGTTTAGAGGAGGCCTTAGGATATCCCTGTGGAGAGTGAAGAATGAAAAAATGGGCTCAGGTGTCTTTTTAGGCTGACATTTCTTCTGCTTTCAATCCTTTCTATAAGGAACATCAGCCTAAGACTAGAATACAAGATGCTTTTGGGGAACCAGGAGAAAGTAAAACCCTTTGGGAAGGTACAGGAAATTTGGGGGGAAGCATTGGTGGGGGGCACAAAGATCCTGGTAGGAATCTAGTTCCTGAGTCCTGCTCATGGAGAAAGCAGGTGTTAGTGCCACCTCTGGTGGGATGCTGAGGCTAGCTCAAACATCTGTCCTGGCCTCAGAGGGGCTTATGGGAGATGAAGGTTTTGGGTCACTATAGTGCCAACTCTGTGGTCAAGGCTGAATTACTGACCTCTGCATTCACACTCTTGGCCGCCTTCCTGGAGCCACCTCCCAGAAACCTGGCGTTGGTCCCCATGGCTTTTGGCGACCCCTGTTGGAGGCATATGCGGTTACTTTCAGACACTGGAAAAGGACAGCTCTCTGTGACCCTATCCTCCAGAGTTGCCCTACTTGGGTACTTAGATCAGCACAAGCTCTGTTTCTCTGTGTCTCTGTCTGTCTGTCCCACCTTCCTTTGATGGGCTCTAGGGTACTCCAAAAGAGGAATACTGTAAATGGATAAGGAACTGAGACTTAAAAATCTAGCCTAAAGGCTGGGGAGATAGCCCAATGGTTAAAAGCAAATTCTGCTCTTGCAGAGAGAACCCAAATTTGATTGCTAGCACCTACATGGTGGCTTGCAATTGTCTATAACTGTAGTTCCAGGGGATCCAGTGTCCTCTTCCGACCTACACAGGCACTCATGTACAAAGCAAAAATAAATAAATCTTAAAAGAAAAATGATTTGGGATTCCCCTCTGTATGTTATGAATATGTTTTATTACCATTGGTAAATAAAGAATCTACTTTGGCTTATGGCAGGGCAGAATATAACTAGGCTGGAAGAAATATATAAAGAGAGTAGGCAGAGTCAGGGAGATGCCACATAACTGCCAAAGGAGAAAGACGCCATGTAGCTGCCCAAGAAGCAAGAGGTAACAAACCATGAGCCTCATGGTAAAATATAAAATAATAGAAATGGGTTAATTTAAGATGTAAGAGTTAGTTAATAAGGAGCCTGAGCTAATAGGCCCAACAGTGTTTCTGTGTCTGGGCAGCTGGCAAATGAACAAGCAGTCTCTGCCATCAGAAAAAATCAGGCCTACTGAAAATTTTAGCTGAGAAAGTGAAGAAAATAGCTTCTGAATCTAAGGGAAGACATGATAGGGTTATTGAGACTGCAACCCCCACATCGTTCATTAAAATACTGACAACTTAGATGAGAGCAAGGAGCAGCAGATAACTTTAAACCAAAATTTCCACCTGACCTCCAAGTTGCTGTGTTTGAATACACAATTTCAGTTGCTTATTAAGAGGACAGTATTTGTGTTTGTTCCTCTGGTACAGACACATTGCATCCAAGCCTATGTTATTTGATTCTACAACTTCCATATATTTGAGATAAGGTCTTTCTATGAGGCTCAATGTATATCTAACTTCTGGCCTTAAGTGATCCATCTGAATCTGCTTCTTTGTAGCTGGGATTATTGGTGCTTACCACCAAGCCCACCCCTAAAATATGTTTATGACAACAGAAGATGAAGGTTTAAGTCTGGTGATTGGCTTAGCAGAGAAAGGCACGTGCTAACAATCTTGACAACCTGAGTTCCATCCTTGGAACTCACATGGTAGCAGATTGTTGACTCCTGTGGGCATCCTCTCAGACTGTCATCCATTCCCTGTGTGTGGCATGTGCACCCACCCAAAGAAAAATAAATTAATTAGATAGAATACAAAATTTGTCATAGGGTTTCTATTGCTGTGATAAGAGACCATGACCAAAAGCAACTTTGGGAAGAAAGGGTTTATTTCACCTTACAACTCACACTTTATTACTTCTTGAGGGAAGGCAAGGTAGGAACCCATGTTTGGAACCTGGATGCAGGAACTGATGCAGAGGTCATGGAGGAAGGCTGCTTATTAACTCGTTCCTCCTGGCTTGCTTAGTTTGCTTTCTTATACATCCCAAGATTACTTGCCTAGGGGACTCACCACTTATAGTGAACTAGGCCTTCTCACAACAATCATTAATCAAGAAAATACCCTACATATTTCCTACAGGCCAATCTTAAGGAGGTTCTTTCTTAAGAACAGAGGTTCCTTTTTTTCAGATGACCATAGTCAAATTGACAACAACCAACCAACCAGGCTAAAATTATAAAAAGATAAAGGCTTATAGATTTTAGAATCTCCAGCTAGAACTGGGACCACATGACAATTCCCTAATTTTAGTTAGTGATATTTCCTGTTAAAATCAATAGCAGATTGGGAATCTAAGTGTTTGTCTGGCATGTGCGATAGCCTGGATTTGATCTATAGTACCATGAAAACAATCAAATATGCCTTCATATGTTTCTTATTTTGTTTAAATTATTCTTTCTCTGAAACAGGGTCTTCATAGTATAGCTGGGGTTGGACCTGGACTCCGAATCCCCCAGCTTCCACCCCTGCCAATGCCCAGCTCATTTTTGTTGTTGTTTTTGGTTGGGAAAGGGTCTTGCTGTATAGTCCAAGCTGTCCTTGAACTTTCGGCAATCTCTCTAACACTGATTCCAGATTCCAGATGAGTTACTATGCTTGAATTATTCTTGTGTAATTTGTGACTTTAAATCTGTTATGGACTGAATGAACTCCATCCTCCTAAATTCACACATTGAAGATCTAACCTCTACTTCCTCAAAATGAGTATATTTGGAGATAGGGTTTTAAAAATGACAATTAAGCTAAAATAAGGCTTTTGTGGTGTTCTTTAATCCAGTATTATAAGAAAATGATCCAGGTGTGGTGGCACATGCCTTTAATCCCAGCACCAGAGAGGCAGAGGCAGAGACAGGAAAATCTCTGTGGGTTCAAGCCCAGTTTGGTCTACAGAATGAGTTCCAGAACAGCCAGGGCTACACAGAAGAAAACCTGTTTCCTGTCTCAATGCCCCCCACCCACCAAAAAAAAAAAAAAAGACCTTAAAGATGTGTACACAGCAAAAAACCATGTGACCGATGATACAGTGAGATGCTAGCAGAATATGTCCTCTTAAAACCTCTGTGTTGGGGCTGAGGAGACAGGGCAGCAGGTAAGAGCACTTACTGCTGTTGCTCAGGGCAGTTTATAACCTACTGTAACTCGGGTTCCAGGGGACCTGACTTCCTATTCTGGCCTCTGGGGCACTGCAGGCATATGGTACACAAACATACACATGGGCAAAGCATTCATATACATCAAATACAATAAATGAATCTTTAACCCTGTCTCGAAAAACAGAAACAACAACAAAAAAAGCTTCTATGTTAGAATCCTAGTCCCTAGTGTGATTGTATTAGGAAGTGGGGGCTTTGGGGGCTAATTAGATCATGAAAGTAGAGCTCCCAGGAGTGAGATTAATACCTTTGTGGAAAGGGACCTCTGGGAACCTTTAATTTGCAGTGTATGAGAATTGATTGTCTGCACACAGGGAGATGACTCTTACCTGAATCAATCATACCAAAACCCTAATCTCAGAAGCTCTACTTTTGGAACGATGAAAAATAAGTTTCTGCTGGTTCTAAGAGATTCAGACCTTCTGGTACCTCAGTTTTAGATTTCCAGTCTCCAGAAATGTGAGATAAATCAAATTTGTCCCTAAAGCCACCTCAGCTGTGGTAACTTGTTATGACACTCCTAATGAATAGAAACAAACCTTTCTCCTCCACTAGCCTCAGAATCCGTAGATCAGCTCTGACAGAGCTCACTGTTCCTGGCACAGGGTAGGCATTTAGTAAGTGCTTGTTCAGTAGGTGCACAGACAAGCGTTTGGAGAGGGTTCTGTTAGAGATCATCAGGTTCAGTTTGGGTCTCCTCTCCCCAGACTTGTGCCCTTTTTGTCACACAGATGGGTGGTGTTGCATCATTTTCCAGAGCCTTTTTTCAACATTCTCATGTGATGTTTTGAGCACTATTAAAATAATTTAGATGGGCACAGCCCTTGCTTCTTTTTTTTTCTAGCATTTTCTCCTTGAATGGCCGCTATTCCTCATTTCAGCAAGAAGCCATAAAATATTAAAGCCAGAAGAAATCTTGTAGATGACTTAGTTGAATTCCTAAATATAGAACTTTAAAAATTCTTAGTGATTACATTTAGATATTTAGAAATTGTAAGTGTATTGGAAAAAAATTTGAAAGTACAACAAACTCCATTATCATCATTTTATTTTGAGGTAAGGTCTCGTAGTTCAGGATAGTCTTGAGCTCACTACAGAAGTGAGGATGACCTTGAACTACAGATCCTTCTGTTTCAATCTCCCAAGTGCTAGAATTAACAGGTGAGTGGTGTGGTGCCGTGCTCAAGATTACACATTTATTTAAGATTTTTTTTTCTGTTTTTCGAGACAGGGTTTCTCTGTGTAACAGCTCTAGGTGTCCTGGAACTAGCTCTTGTAGACCGGGTTGGCCTTGAACTCACAGAGAACCGCCTGCAGCTGCCTCCCTGAGTGCTGGGATTAAAGGCGTGTGCCACCACTGTCCAGTTAATTTTATTTTTTTAAAGATTTATTATTTTTTATGTATGAGTGTTTTGCCTGCATGTATGTGTGTGCACCACATGCATGTCTGATGTCTTTGGAGTCTAGAAAAGGGTGTTGATTCCTGTAGTTGTGGATGGTTGTGAGCTGCCATATGGGTGCTGGGAATCAGTCCTGGGTTGTATACAGGAACAGAGTGATTTTAGCCACTGAGCCATCTGTTCAACTTTTCCTCTAGATTTATTTTATAAAGTAGCTTCATCTTGTGTGGAATTATGAATGTCATGTAGTCTTAGTATTATGTCCATCTTTACTCCCTCTCCTCCTCTCTCTGTCTTGGTCTCTGTCTGTTGAGTAGCCAAGATTAGCCCAGCAGGCTAGACTGGGATATTTTCTTTTCTAATGTGTTAAAATAAGCATGTTATTATTAAGGCCATAAAAAGCAAATTTATGTTTCATCAAAAATTAGTCTTGGTAAACACTTGCCCAGTGAACTTTCTATCCAGATAGATCTGGGGCTCCCTATAGGCTCTGTCACTTAACTGTATGATGTATACTTCTTGGATCTGTGAGTGTCTGACTTGTAAAACAAGGATAAGTAATGCCCACCTTGCTGAGGAATAAATGATCTGTGAATGTTCCATATCCAGACATCTGTTCAGGATATGAGTTGTTGTTGTCACTGAGGACTGGTAGTTGTTTTCTTCTTTTCTTCCCTTTCCCCTCTTCTATAGCTCCCTTCCCCTTTGCCCCATGTAGTTCAGGTTGACCTCAAACTTGATAAATAACTGGGGATAAACTTGAACTCTTGATCCTTCTACCCCAGCCTTTAGGTGCTGGGATTTCAGGCATGTGCCAACACACTTGGCTTCTAGTTGTTTTTCTGAAGACAGTGATCACACCACCTGCAGCTCCAGCAAAGGGCATATTTCAGCCCATGAGAAGAAATAGGGATCCCTGGAGGTGGCTTATTCCATGGACCAGGAAAATATAAGATAAACCTGAAACCTCTTGTGTCAGAAAGTAAGGAACTGCCAAAAAATAAAAATGATGGAAACAGTAAAACCCTGTGGAAACCAACCTGAAGGACAACATGGTAACATAATAAATGATGGCAGTAGTTGGGTTAAAACCCATGAGTGTCTGACTCGGGGTCCATACAGCTATAAACAAGTAGGTGGATAACTAAAAGGAAGAGGGCCTGGAGAGATGGCTCAGTGGTTATGAGCACTTACTGCTTTCACAGAGGACCTGAGTTCAGTTCCCAGCACCCACATCGGGTGGCTCACAACTGCCTTTAATTTTTAAATTAATTATTGTTTGTGCATGTGGTGTGGGTGGGGGAAGCGTGAAACCAAAGCACATGTGTGGAGCTTAGAGGACAATTTGTGGAGTCTGTTCTCCCCTTCCACAGTGGGTATCGAACTCAGGTCTCTAGACTTTGACGGCAAGCACATTTACCCACTGAGGCCTCTTCTCTTGCTAGCCCTTCTGTAATATTGTTGCACTAAGTGAATAAGCAGAACTTTATCATGAGAAAACACTGGAAAGCCCCATACTGAGAGCATTTTACTTTTCAGTACTCTTCAAAAATATACCAAGAACTCCCAGGAAAGAGGAGGAAGGACAGGAGCTGCCCTAGTTTGGAGGACACCAAGGTGACATGACAGTTTTACTCACTGTGAGTTCTAAATTGGCTTCTGGACTAGAAAATGATGTTAGCAGAATAATTAGGACACTTTGAATATTTAAGAGATTAGCCAATGTTACTGTGTTAATGACAGTTTCCTGGTTTTTTAAATTTTAATTTTATGTGTATGGGTGTAGAGTCTTTCTCTGTCCTACCTGCTAGCTTCCAAATAATGGAAACTGCTTATTAATTATGAAAACTTGGCCAATAGCTTAGGCTTGTTTCTAGCTCACTCTTATAATTTAAATTAATCCATATCTTTTAATCTATGTTCTTTTATGTGGCTTAGTTTCTTTTATTTTGTAAGGCCCATGCTGCTTGCTCTATGCCCCCTGGTGTCTCCTCACGACTCTGCCCTTTATCATCCCAGCATCCTGTGTGCCTGGAAATCCTGCCTAGCTATTGGGCATTCAGCTTTTTTTTTTTTCATTAAACCAATCAGAGTGACACATCTTCACAGTATACAAAAAGATTATTCTTCAATATATGGGTATTTTGTCTGCATGTACATCTGTGCACCACTGGTGTGTCTGGTGACTTAAGAGGCCAGAAGAGGGCATCAGATCCCCTGGGACTGGAGTTACAGACATTTGTAAGACACCATCGGGATGCTGGAATCTGGACCCAGGTCATCTGAAAGAGTGGTCTGATTTTAACCTCTGAGCCATCTCTTCAGTCCCTCCTGTTTTTAAAGATTATTATTTTTTGTGTGTATGAGTATTTCATGTTTGTTCATGCATGGTATGCATGCTATGTCCACAGAGGCCAGAAGAGGGCATTGGATCCCCTGGGACTGGAGATCATAGGATTGTGAGCAGCCATTTGGGTGTAGGAATCAAACAAAGCCTGGGTTCTCTGGAAGAAAAACCAGTGCTCTTAACTCCAGAGTCATCTCTCCAGCCCCCATTACATTTTGTAAATACAAAATGAGATCACAGTGTATTTATTGTAACACTTAAAGCAGTGCCTGCAGTACAGGATTTCTTAACACATGTCAGCTATTACCATAAGTAATATAATCAAGTAATATTACAAATAGGGAGTAATCTATTATAAGTAATTTGTTCCCAATTTTTAAAAATACATTCTTATGTATTCTTTTTGTCCTTCTCCCTTTTCAAACCAGCTCAACTTTACTTACACATCCAGGATGCATGGGGTTCTGTGTTTAATACACATACTTACACTAACAGCAACAAGGAAAAAAATATTGCCATCACAGCTTGGCATAGAGTCATAGAAATGAATCATTTTGATCTTAGAAACCAGAGCACTTAGCTAATATTTGCTGAGTGCTATACTGCATAGTGTGAGGGTTATGGAAATGATATATCAGTTTGTGTCACCAAGGTGATTAAGGACGGAGAACAAGTAGAAGGTGTACCCTTAAATTGTGAGGCAGACTATGATACGTGCAAGAGTCTTATTTGAACTGAGTATAGTCAGCAAGGGGAGAGCTGTGTGTAGCTGAGGGAGGAATCAGTGGAGGAGTGGGAAGGTGTGAGCTTTCGAGCTGGATATGTGAGTAAAGCTGAGCTGGTTTGACAACATAGGACGTGTTGGGAATCAGCAGTCTAGTCTGAGCAGAGCATAGAGTGTATCTTTGTGAGTGGAGGAGAGTGGACTGGAAAAGTAGGTTGGGACTAGAACTTTGAGTACATGGGGACTCTAGCCCCGTGTCCATCATAGTGATAGGGATGCCTTCCCTTCCAGGATTGTAGAACCTAGCAATTTCCAAAGAACTTTCTCTAGAAAGGAGAGAAGTTGGACATTGTAGAAGACAGGTGATCCTAAATTTAGGATTGCTGCTGAGTTTGCCACGAGTTATTTCACCCTCAAATAGCCGAGGGGCTGAGAGGGATAGTATTCTCAAGTAGAATGATACATGGATGGAGATGATCTTGCTTTTGTGTGGTGGTTCTGTGAAGGGCTGGGTCATATTGGCTCTGATGAAAACCGGAGCAGATTCAGAACCACTACTAAGGTCTGCTTCCCCCAAGGCAGACCATTTTAACAGAGCACAGCATGACCAAATGTCTGCATGGCCACTGCCTGGTGATAGGACTGTCCAGTTTGTGTCATCAGTGACTTAACTGGCAAGCTCTAGAAAAATAGAAAACTCTTAATTTCTTTAATTTCTACCACAATCTCTAATTGAGACCTGAGGAAATCTGTGACTTTTCTAGGAGAGGTTAGGGAAGGAAAGTGGGTCTGGTCTGGGCTGTGTGTATGCATGTGTGTATGTTGCCAGCTTCAGTTGCACACACTTTGGCAATGTTTCTTAAAGTTCACAGACTCTTTGGGATAAGTAGGGTCCTTCCTTTTTGTTAATGAGGATACTGACACTGAGAAAGACTAACTTAATTGCTCCAACTTGTAGCTAAAAGAATACTTTAATGGGTATGTTGTTCGATTTGCCACATTTCCTACTCCATTTCCTCCATTAATATCAAATTAATTTTTGGTATGTGCACATTATAGGTGAGGTACAAAGTAATCTTGAGCAGGGCATGGTGGCACATGCCTACATAACACTGGTACTCAGGATGCTGAGGTAGGAAGAGTGCAAGTTTCAGGTCAGCCTGGGCTACATATCAACACCCTGTCTCAAGGGGGAAGGAGGGAAGAGGAGGTAAAGAGGAAGGGAGAGAGAGAAAGAAAAGAGAGAATATGATTTCATCTTGTTTACCTGGATCTGGTCTGCTGGAGACTGTGAGCATGGCTGGCAGCAACAGAAGGAAGGCAGAGACTAGAACCTTCATTGTGGCTGTTTGTTGGTGGTGTTGTTGCTTAAAGATGGTGTGGAATGGCTTGGGTGGGGTGGTGTCTACAGTTTAATCCCATGCCAGAGTACCCATTAGAAGGCAAGAACAAGAAGGCGGTGCTGGTGATGCTGGTAACAGATTGGACCAGGTGCTTTACAGGAATGTGGGAGGCAAAACCGGTCAAACAAAAGAAACACAACACTCTGGAGAACCAAGGAGTGATTGAAAGCTTGGCAGCTGTCCTTAACTCCTCACCCCCTACAGTGTTATGATTTTGTTGTCTTAGCTTTTTTCCAACACTTGAATTTCCTTGTACTTTTTGACTGTTTATAGCAAGAAATGGGGCACTGCAGGGTGGCAGAAGAGAGGCTGGCTGGTGTGTCTCTTTTGTTTATCCACTCGCAAATACCTGCAATGGAAGTACTTCTGTCTGGGTAGTTTCTCTGTATTCACACTGTTGGCAGTTCTCTCCAGTTCTCTAACCATGTAAAGGGGAAACAGAGCTGGAGTAAGAGGAGGCAGTTCAAATTGGTTGTGGTGGTGTATGTCTGCAATTTCAGCACTGGGGAGGACGAGGAGGACCTGAGTGTGATGACAAAACCTATTTTAAAAAAAGAAGAAAAGAAAGAAAAACAAACAAAAATGAAGGGCTGGTGGCTGATGAGCTAATTGTTCTGAGCTCAATTCCCAGGACTCACAGAGGAAGTAGAGAACCAATATGTTATCCTCTGACCTCCATACTCACTTGGTGGCATGCACACTCCCTTCCCTCATAAATAAATGTATTGAAAATGAAGAGATGTGATGTAGCTTAGTGATAGAATGCTTGTCTAGCATGCACATGGTTCCAGGTTTGGTTCTCAGCACAACAAAAAACAAAACAACAATAAACAAGCAAAATTAAAGGCAATTATCTTTGCTCCAAAAACCCTTCCCTGGAGCAGTGGGAGAAAACTAGGCCTCCTCTTGCTCATCAGAAAGTTGCTATGGTTCAGTTGCTTCAGTCTACAGGACAGGGGATTTGTGGGGGATCACCAGAGCTTCAGATCCAAGAAGGCTTGAGGAGTATAGGAACTCTTGAACTGTGTTTGCCTACATTGGTGGGGATCTTGGTTCCAGTCTCTGGAAATGGTCCAAGGCAAAAGGAGAAAGCTGATAATGCTCACAGTCAACATTGAGGTGATTGTGCCAGCCAACTTCCTGGCAAACATGCACCTCACAAAAGAGAGGAATTTTATTTCTGGCTTGCAGTGTTAGAGGTTTTATTCCATGGCCAGTCTGTCCTGTCCCTCCAGAGCCTGTGTTGAGATGCACATCATGGAATGAGTGCACAGTGGAGAAAACCGCTCACATCCTTAGCAGCCAGGAAGCAAAGCAGACAGTGAGAAACAGGACTCTAATATTTTCTTTAAGGCTGTATACCCCACGACGACCTCATTATTTTCTATGAAACTGTCTCCTAAAAGGTTCTTCTGACCTCCCAATAGGCTAGCTACCAGGTCTTTAACTCACAGGCTTTTGGGAAGCATGGAAGATCCAAACTATAACAATCTTGAACACATCAGCACTAAATTTGGTGTCTATACTAGAGACTTTAGGAATGTGTCAAAGAGAGGGATTGCTCAACTTGAATGCTGGGTGACATTTGTCAGGGTTGAACAGTGAACAAGGAAGTCTTTCCTAGAGCCTTTGGGAATGAGGGAGTGTATGAAGTTGGTCCTGCAAAAGAAGTGAATTGATAAAATGATTTTAAAAATAGAATCTTAGTCTACAGCTAAGGGTGACTTAGAATTTATAACAGTTCTGCTTCTGCCTCCTGCATTTAATTTTTTTCCCCATTTCTCTTCTCCAGTTTATCCTAGCTCAATACCATGCTGAGGGTTGTGTTAGGTAGTGAGCACTCTCCTCAGACTGATAATTTGGTTTTAGTCTGATACCACTGTCTATAGACAGCCTCTATTTTTAGGAGGCTGACATTTAGTCAGGGGACAGCATGTACTCCATAACCCTGAGATACAAATGGAGTCACCTTCACTAAGGACTGAGATGGTAATTAGGTAAGATTTGGTTTTCTAAAAAATTATTTATTTATTATTTTTGTTTTTTTGAGACAGGGTTTCACTGTAGCTTTGGAACCTGTCCTGGAACTAGCTCTTGTAGACCAGGCTGGCCTTGAACTCAAAGAGATCCACCTGCCTCTGCCTCCTGATTGCTGGGATTAAAGGTGTGTGCCACTACTGCCCAGCTGAGATTTCTTTTTAGTTTATGGATAGGTGTTTCACCTGTATGTATGTGTACCATATCATGTAGTGCCTGAGGAGACCAGAAGAGGGCAGTAGATCTTTTGGGACGGAAGTTATAGACAGTTGTGAGTCACCATGTGGGTGCTGAGAATCAGTCCAGGCCCTCTGGAAAATCAGCCAGGACTCTTAACTATGTTTCTCTAGACCCCTATTAGTTTTAAATATTTAATTTGTGTGTGTGTGTGTGTGTGTGTGTGTGCGCGCACACACACATTCCATATTTATACAGATTTTGGAAGAGGTCAGAAGAGAGCATCAGATTTCCTGGAGCTGGAGTTACAGTGTGAGCCACCCAATATGGGTGCTGGGAACTGAACTTGGTTTTCTGGAATGGCAGCAAGCACTTTTAACCATTGAATCATCTCTCAAGCCCTGGGAGCTTTAAAAAAATTATAAATAACAACTTGTTTCTGTGCATCTTTGTCACAAATAAATTTGAATTGATGGATATGTAAATGAATGTGGGGATAACACAAGAACATACCTTTTTATATTTTAGCTAATAAAATCATTTAAAAATTTTAAAATTTAACTAAAAGAGAATTACATCCTTTACCCCCTATTCTCTTTTCTTTCTTTGTTTCATTTCTCTTTCTTTCTCTCTCTCTCTTTCTTTCTTTCTTTCTTTCTTTCTTTGTGTTTTGAGACAAGGTATCACTCTGTAGTTCAAGCTAGCCTTGAACTTGGGACGCTGCCTCAGCCTCCTGAGTGCTGCGTTTGTAGAATCATATACCACTTCATTAGGCAGGGTTTGAGCTGGGTCTCACAGGAGAGGTAGAAATTGGGCTGGTGGAGGGCAGAGAGCAAGTCAGTGCAAAGGGTGTGTGGGCATACAGAGTGGATTGGGTGGGGTCTTTGGGGACAGGGGCTGTTGACTTCCTTTTTATTTGAGTTTTCTGAACTCAACAGGGCCTGGTACCAAGGAAGTACTCTGCAAATGTTTAATGAACAAAGCAATAGCTTTCCAACCCCTTAACTTGGTCTGATAAGATAGGAAGTTTGTGAAAATTCAACCTATTGAAAGAAAGAAAATCTTACTGATAGACATATGTTCACACAGAACTTCATTCAGCTGTCCATCACTCCAACCTGTGTTGAGGCCACTGCAAGATCAGGGAGCTCTCCCTCAGTTCTCCTCAGGTCTCCTTAGTCTGTTAGATCAGGGAGCTCTCCCTCAGTTCTCCTCAGGTCTCCTTAGTCTGTTAGATCAGGGAGCTCTCCCTCAGTTCTCCTCAGGTCTCCTTAGTCTGTTAGCCCCTACAACCCTAGATCCTGACTGCTGGTCAGTTCCGTCTGCTTTCTTGATAATGAACACTCTTAAGACAAATGGAATTTTGAATTGGGTTCCTTCAGTAGCCTAAAGCTCTGAGGGCAGGAAAGCATCTGATTTTGTTGCTCCAATGCCCAGTGGATTGTGAGTTCAAGGACAGCCTGTGATATAAAGAGTGAGTTCTATAATTTTGAACAGTTTGGTGTCTGTGGAACACCCAGGTTCCAAGCCACGCTCTAACAATGTCGCCCTTGAAATCACCATGACAGGTGTTTTCAGACATCTAGCCCTGCCTGAAGTTCCAGGAATTGTAGGGATCCAGGGCATGGTCTCATCTTGTGCTCTCTCTTCAGTCCTGGTCCTGCTCTTGGCAGGCACGGATGCCAGCTGGTACCAGAGAACACCCTTCAAGTGTCCCTCCATTTCCCACCCGCCACTTTCCAAATGATATAATCCGAAGCTCTCCTATCACCTCCCCGTGCCCAGGTGAAGTGCAGAAACCAGAGCAGAAACCGAATTCTCGGAATGTCTAGCCAGAGTCGCAGTGCGGCAGAACTGCCGGCTTCCCCATCCTGGACCATGTTCCTAGTTAGAGCCGAATCCCACATCTGCTGCCTCTTCCCATCTGTGCTGTGGGCAGCCCCAGACCTCTTTGCATGCATCTTTTTTATTTTGTGAAACAAATCTCACATCATAGCTTAAACCAATGATTCTCAACTTTCTGATGCTGCGACCCTTTAGTACAGTTTCTCATGTTGTGGTGACCCCAACAATAAAATTATTTTACTCCATAACTGCAATTTTGTTACTGTTATGAATTGTAATATAAATATCTGATAGGCAGGATGATCTTAGGCAACTCCTGTGAATGGGTCGTTTGCCTTCCCCCGCCAAGAGGGTCCCAACCTACAGGTTGAGAACCACTGTCTTAAACTGACAGAAGAGCACAGGGGTTTCAGATTACATCACTTGGAAAGTAGCACTTGGAGGGTGTTCTCTGATACCGGCTGGCTTCAGTGCCTGCCAAGAGCAGGACCAGGACTGAAGAGAGCACAAGATGAGACCGTGCCACAGAGAGCCAGTGCCCGGGATTCCTACTTCTCTTTCTTGGCACTTCAGGCAGGGCTAGATGCCTGAAAATGCCTGTCATGGTGATTTCAAGGGCGACATTGTTAGAGCGTGGCTTGGAACCTGGGTGTTCCACAGACACCAAACTGTTCAAAATTATAGAACTCACTCTTTATATCACAGGCTGTCCTTGAACTCACAATCCACTGGGCGTTGGAGCGCGGCTTGTAACCTGAGTGTTCCACCAACACCGAAGTGTTGGGAATTATAAAACCTTCACTTTCTGGGCCAGCAAAATGGCTCCTCAGTTAGGGCTTCCATCACTGAGCCTAGGGACTGGACTTTGATCTCTGGGACTCGCATGGTGAAAGAAGAGCTGCCCTG